ACAATCTGGATCAGCACAAGGACGAATTCGCACCATAATTATATATGTTTAAAGCTTTAAAAATTATCTTCGAAAAACTAACCTAATAAAACAAATCAACCATTACCATTATTACCATTAATAGCGTTTTTTTAGCTGTTGAAAGTTTTAAATAACAACTTGCGTACACTTGCGTTACTCTGAACCTGCTCTGAATACACTCTGAATCTGCTCGACGAATGCAATGAGCAAACTTTGTGTAAGTAGCGCCATCTATGGGTGGTGCACAGTACTACAACACGAGTAAGCATTTCCCTATTAAAGATCCCCTAGCCTGAGTCAGTCACTATTAAAGTCAGTCACTATTAGTGTCGCTCTTATTTTGACATCTGAGCTTGCGCAGATCACTTACATCCTAAAACTATATAACTTTAATAAAGATTGTGGCTATCCTTAATTGTGGATGTTTAAGGACAGCAGTTAGTGGCGACTTTATAGTTTCGGGTGCCCTCGCCAACATTCGTATCAGTTGGAAGTTTATTAAAATTAAATATTTAATATCATCTTCATCTAAACCTTCTAAGATGGTAATTTTTAATACCTCTTCCATATTATGTACTATTATAATAAACAACAAAAAAGTTGAACTGTAATTTAAAATTTTTAAAATGAGATTAGAAATATGTATAAGGACAAGGACTCTAATGTCAAAATTTCAGGTTTGCAATAAGTCTTATTTTAGCATGGAATTTATTTGCCTCTAATTAGGTTGTCACTATTAGTGGCTGACGTTATAGAAATTTGCAATAACTCTCTATTTATTAAGTACAAGCGATACTTAACACAGCAGCGAGACCGCACGACATGACCTGAACATGAACACCGAACACATACTTTGATTACTATACGAGGCAAGAGAGAGGTCCGATACGTCCAACATAGGGCGCGGCCATTTTGAACCCTGTGACACAGTTTACAGCTAAAGAATCAGATCGCTCACTCTGCGTCTGCACTTTTGATCTCAATGTTTCAGTTTATACACTGTGCAACTCGGATAATACAATATATGACAACCGCCTATAATAAAACAGCAGTCTTCTGCGTATCCTGAATTTTTATCCCTGGAGTGGATGTTATTTTGGAACTTTCAACTGGTCCGAGTGAGCTAACTGATTCTTTAACAATAAACTGTGACTTCAAAAATAATATTCACTGACACTGACAGCAGCAAGCAAAATATCAGGTGCGTTTTAATCATCCGCTTCTGCTTCCGGAATTGTCGGTTTAGTCGTTTTAACCTGTCAGATTAAAACAAGAAAACCGACAATTCCGAAGCAGAAGCGGATGATTAAAACGCACCTATTAAAAATATTGCGCCAAGATGTAGGCAACACGTAATAAGGGTTCAAAATGGCGGAGTTTTCTATCTCCTTTTAAAAGACACTCAGAAAGCTGCGCAGTGCGACCATTCTCCGTATAGTAAAAGAAAATCAAAGTATGTGACACCGAAGGACAGCCATTGCAGATTGCAGTATCCCTGACCTGCGCATACAACTAACTAATAATTAAGATATAGGCAACATGATATACACACATGTGTGATACTGGTTGCCTATGCTACAAAGACGGCTTTGGCGTTCAGAAGCGTACTTAGGTAAGGTATTGAGCCGTGCGTATAATTTCGTTGAGCCTATAATTTCGTTCATTTTGTTTGAGCTCTCTGTTGTGTTAAGTTAAAGGTACTGTTATTATTTTGTTGACTCTTTAGCTGTGAGTAGAATGAGTAAAACAAAGACATCATTCTGTTTGTGCAGTCAAAAGCTTTTTTAATAAGGGTTATACCTATTCTTTCGTTTTCCCAAGGTCCCAAACCGGAAAGTACCATATTATAAGAAATTTTCATTGTTAATAATATAATTTATACAGGGTGTTCCATTAGTGTGTAATTGTTCAATATTTCAATTTGTGTTGTAGACACGCAAAAAAGTTTTAAATATAAGTTATACGGATTTGAAAAATACATATTTTAAAAATATTTTTGGATATACAGGGTGTCGTGTTTTTGCCTAACAAATCAAAATGTATGTTTTTTAAATGGAACACCCTTTATTTTATTTTTAGGATGGTTTGGTAATACTGTATTTAACCCTAGAATGTATTAAAAAATATTACAGAGTTGCCAAGCAATTAAATTTTTTTTGAAATTAGAGAATGATGCAGACCCCAAATTAAATCATCATAATTTTAGGTAGGTTTACATTGATTTCAAAATCGTTTAATATACAGACTTATAAGGTATTAGAGGCTAACGAATAGTGGTAATAGAACTGGTTTATTTTATACAGAGTGTTTTGAAACATTTCTTGTAAACTGACCGTGTAAGGTGCATCTACTCACCAAAAAATGATTTGCAAACACTGTGCATTTAAACCTTCAAAGAATTGATATCCGTGTCAAATAAACCTTAAGTAGTAAATTTGACCCTGTTCAAAATAATGTTTCTACGCCCACATAAATATTAGCTAATCTATGCATATACTAAAAAACGAAAAAGTATGCTATGTATGTATAAATGAATATATTTATCCGTAAAGTAGAACAAATTCAAAGAACAGCATGTCTTAACATAACAGGAGCCATGGAAGTGATTCTTAGTCTTGCTCCCCTTGATATTTAAATCAAGGAGGATGCTTTGACGGCAATGACACGCCGCTGCACGGTTGGAATAGAACCTGATGTAGGATCTGGCGAGACGAGACGTCGATACGCTCCCACTGCTTCAAGCGAACATGTACTCCATCTCACCGAGATATATCTTCCATAAGCCATATAAAGTTATAATAGAACCAATAGAAGAGCCGGAAGTGGCAGGTACGATTCATATCTACACTGACGGTTCTAAAACAAGGTTCAGGACGTGGAATATACTCCAGATTCTTAAACCTAAACATAAAATTGACTGTGAACAATAGTGCCAGTGTAGTTCAAACAGAGCTAACGGGGATTCTCTTATAACAGCAAAAGAAATAACCAGAAACAATGTCGCTGGAAGGAACATGCTCATCTAAACAGATAGCAGACAAGCACTACTCACCCTGAACAGACCACGAATTTACTCGGGTACTAGAATGTCACGAAGCTTTGGCCGAAGTATCCATCAACAATGGGATCATCTTAAGATGGATCGAAGGTCACGCCACATCGAAAGGTAACCGTATAGCTGATTCACTAGCCAAGAAAGCAGCCAACCAAATACTTTTTGGCCCTGGCCCTTCTATTGGCCAGACAAAATCGGTAGTGACAGACCTAATCAAAGAACATCAAGGAAAGATGGAATAAAACAAGAGACTGTAGAGTTGCCAGGAAGCTCTTAAATTATCTATGACTAGACAGAATTTGCGCCTAGTCACAGGCATTCTGTCTGACTGGTCATTGCTAAAGTACGAAAGCATCTCCATATCATGGGGCTGTCAGAAACTGCACTCTGCAGAGGGTGCGAACAAGAAGATGAGACCATCGAGCATATCCTTTACTATTGCTCGACGCTCTCATTTATTAAAAGATTTGTGTTCGGCGAGTATCGGCTAACACCGGCCGATATAAAAGAAGCACCTCTTGGCGACGTTGTCAACTACATTCAATCTGTAAGCTGGCTCACGAGCTAGGAGGTGCCTATTATCTCAGGAAGATGCACAATGGGCCTAAGTGCCGTGGGAGGGGGGGAGTAACCCATCCTCCACACGTTATAGATACAGCAAAACGTCGCATTTGTCCAGCAAAATGATATCAATACTCTCTCTAATCCACCCCCTTAATTTATTAACGGGGGTTGAACTATTAAAATTAATCATAACTCAAAAACGAAAAAAGATATCAACCTGAAATTTTTAGCAAAAATTAAGCTCTATAAGATGAAAAAAAATTTAATAAATTGGAGGTTAAGGTTAAAATATAAAAAAATATCCCAACTCTAAACGAAAAAAAAAAAAAAACGAACAATATCAACTTGAAATTTTTGGCAAAAAAATCAAGGTTTATATAAAAGGACAAAGGGGTCTATTCTGTAAAAATTCCTTTATATTTAACAGCCTTTAAAAATATTGGCGGCCTATAAAAATATATTCGTATTCGTTAATTTACTTCTGTCATTATTTAAACAGATTTCTTTAAGATAGTCCTCTAATGTATTTTAAAGATCCGTTTAAATAAGGACAGAAGTAAAGAAGAAAATATTAAGGAATTGTTACAGAATAGACCCCATTGCCTATTGATTTAAAAAAATCTGAATAAAGAGAGGGTCAAAATATAAAACAAAAACCAAAAGATATCAACATGAAATATTTAGTAAAAATCAAGATCTATAAAGGGGAATGAATAAATAAAAACGGGGAGATTAGGTGGGCTGAAATATTGAAAAAAAAAATTCAGAAAAAAGAACGATATCAAATTGAAATTATCAGGAAAAATCAAGCTTTATAAGTATTTATTCTGAAAAAAATCTGTCTAAAAATATAGAATGCCAAGCATTATATATCTTCATTATCATTGTATTCGAGTTAAGTGTTCAGCATTGGATCAAAATAAATATGGTCCCCCTACTATAGCAGGTACTACACCAATTTTAATTAATATTTTTTTAATTTATAAAATTAAAATAACAGCTCTTCTAGATATTTTTTTTTTAATGTTCGACATTTAATAGCATACATGATTTTATTTAAATAATTAACAAATGACTACTTTGTGTTATTAGACAGGATCTGATAAAAACTGATAAGAATTCAACAATGGTCAATAAAGTGGTTTTCTATTATAGTCATAGAAAATAGTTATATTTGTTCTTAGGAAAGAGACATTTAAAGTTATTCTTTTTTACAACATTTCTCTATTTAAGTTTCAACCTGTACTTGTAGAAGTGTATAAATAAATATTTTTAGAATGCCATTATGCAGTTTTAATGCCCAACCCTGTAAAATGTTAGTGTGTGTAATGAAGTGAATTGAAAAAAAAAGGATTTTTTTTTATCAAAATGTTTTTATTCTACATTTTAACAATTTAGAATTAATAATATAAGTGAATAAAAAAAATACAAAATAAAGATTACTAAAAAGATAATATCACAATCCAATGATAATCAAAATAATATAGTAACATACAATGGACAAATAAATTAAAGTTATATTAAAAAAAAGTTATGAATATGATATCTTAAAACAGGATGCATATCTTTATTTTTACTATAAAAAATTATAAAGAATATTATACATCTTGTAGAACGCATTTTCCACTTCGTAAAACAAAACTCTCTTTTGCTCATTGTAAAATCTCTATGCTTTTTGCGAAAATTTCAATAACTAATTTTTATTTTGAAAGATGTTTGGCTTTTTGATGCCTTTTCAATTTTTGACTATCATAAAATGATTTTCCACAATCAGGAATGGCACATACATACGGTCTTTCCCCACTGTGACTTCTCAGATGTATGATGAGATGGTGACGTTCAAAGAAAGTCTTGAAACACTGTTCACATTTGTGTTGCTTCAGTCCCTAAAAAAAAATAATTTAAATTTTTTTACAATTATAAAAAATTATTGCATTATATTAAAATCTGTGCATAATATTTATAGCATAACAAGGCCCTAATATATTTGTAAAGAATTCTAAATGTAACCTAATTATTTTCCCATTCGTTGTATAGACCACTCTTGCTGGCAAAGCGGGCAACGATTATTCTGTTTCACCCATAAAGACATGCAACAATAGTGAAATGAATGATTGCATTCGCCCCAAACTACCACACAATCCTGTTTTCCATAAGAGTCTTTTTTGCTTTCAGCCTGGCATCTCAGACAAGCGTCCATTACTTGAACCCTGCAAATAGCGCAGGTGTCACATTCGACGTCCCAGCTCCACATAGCTACCGCGTTCCATTTTTTTAAGGAAAACATTTTCTCGCCTCCCTTCGGGGTATCAATTTCCATTTTTTCGTTGTTATCGTTTTCGTCAGCCATTTTTAATGTTTGACGTTTGATTGACAATCTTGACATTGACAGAAAATCTTCTTTTCCTTTGTGTAGAAATTATGAATATCTAGCCATTATAATTTATCTCTGCTATACTAGCTCTTGTTCTTCAGTATTTCAGCCAATAGTGCAAATGCACCAAAATTTAAAATTCATAATGAGTATATTTAAAAATATAAGCAAAATTGCATAGGTAATGCTTGTAATAGATGTGTTTTATTTACAAGAAAGGATGATAATAACAAATTAGGGCCCATGAATGAAAATCGAAGTTGTTATATCACAGGAATTTAGATATTGGTAGGAACAAATCAGTAAAATACCTTAAAAGTTACAATGAAACTTCGATTTTCATTCAAGGACTAGGTCATTACTAAATAAGGAAGAAGATCAAGGAAGTATTCTTATTAGTTCTTTTTATTAGCTAATAATTTTTCATAAAATTCTTTACCTGGTGATACCTCTGATGCTTCAACAACTCCTTTTTAGTATAAAATGCAGACGTACATTGCCCACATTTGAATTCTTTGACACCTGTATGTATTAGTTCATGTCGATCTAAGCTACATTTGGTGAGAAACTCTCTTGGACATTGTGAACAATGGTATCTTATGCCTTCATGGTATCTTTTGAGATGAGCACGAAGATTACTTCTTACTGAAAAGCTTAGATTGCAAGGTTCACATGTATGCCCTTTTACAGAAGAATGGATTTTTTCATGGCAGATTAGGGATTTTTTAAAAACGAAGTCTTTTCCTAAAACATTTAAAACAGTTAGAAAACATATTAAAAAACCAGTTTAATGTTAATAAAAAAAATTACCACAGCTAGCACACAAGTAGGACCTCTTTCCTTCATGAATTAATTTGTGCATTTTAAGTGAGTATGCAGTCGTATACACCTTCAAACAAGTTTCCACAGAACATGTATATATATTATGAACTTTCAAGTGAGTTGTATAACTTTTCTCATCTACAAAAGTTTTTTCACATTTTTTACATTTAAACTTGATTTCATTTTCACCTGAAATAAAAACGTATCTTGAAATAGATTAAAACAAGATAATTATATTACTTACAAATTTCTTTAGGTTCTTCAATGGAATGTTGAAGATCTGGGTCTTTTTTTCTTTTGATTTTCTCACATTTATGATTGTTGGAATTCGTAGGCGTTTCAAAGAATGTTTTACATAAAGAACAATACAATTCCGGATGAGTCTTTTTATGTTTTCTAAAAGTTGATAATTTTCTACAAGATTTAGAACAAATTAGACATACAAAAGGACTTATTTTATTATTGAGACTAGTTTTCTGTATTTCTTCATTAGTATTATCCCTACTTTCGTCGATAAAATTTAAACATTTTTGTTCTAAACAGCTTAAAAGACATTTATTTACATTTTGAATTTCTGATATAAACAAATTCGTTTCTAAAATTTTATTGTTACAATGCACACAAATGGCAATTGGTAAAAGTTGAAATGCGTTTAGATTCACCTAAAAATGATAAAGTTATAAACACCTAGAGGAACAACAATCAAACTTACTTCTATAAGTGTAATTTTAAATATCAATTTGGATATATCTTCTTCTAGAGGTATAATGCCTTCATTTTTCTGACATAATCTACAGTTCTCTTTCACAATAAACATTGCTAAATACTAAAAGTAGGAATTTCAATTTTCAATTATTGTTAAAACACCTTCAAGTTCATTTAAAATTATGAATTGTGTTTGCTGTTTGGTTATTTGTTGGGTTAGGATTTAATTATCTGATCTGACTTTTTTTAATAAATAAGAATGAAGTTAGCTCCATGTCGCGCTCCATACGTTCAGGACCGTAATTTGAATATCTGAAATCTTGAAAATAGTTATATTTATTTAATAAATGGGAATGACAAATAAAAAATAAATATAGTACATTTTAGTCAAAGACTAAGAGACTAAGAGACCAAATTGTTTACATTTTTATGTGGCAAATCATTATTCCCACCAGATTCTCGTTTATTGCGTCTTTGCTGGTTTTATCACATAGTAAATTGTATGAAAAATGATTATCCAATCTAATTTTTCAGACAATTTACTGCAGGTTTGATAATATACAATTTAAATTGTACAAAAAATTGTATCAAAAACTTGTGTAGTCTAAAACAGTCTTAAAACAGTTTTTGAAGTAATATTCCTTTTATAAATTAGTAAATTATTCTTATACCAATAAACAATTATTGAATAGTGACAAAGAAAATTTAATGTAAAACGTAGAATACCTTAAAAATGATTTACCTATTAGGCACCTATACATATTTTTTAATATTCTATTTAGGTTTTCGCAAGCTCCTGAGAAAAGAAAATTTTGGTTTTCTCTAGTAGGGATCCTTGAAAATCAGCCCCTTCGTAAAAACCCAGAGTAGTGTTCAGAACACTTTTTTGGTACGTGCAAATGGCGCTAGATATATCAGAAAAGATGCAAACCCTAGACGGTGTGAGGGCTTTCTATTTTTGGATGACTTATCCAACAGGTAAAATACAAAATATTAATTTTTTGTTTACCTCTAAACATTATTTATTACCTATATGTATGTACATCTAATATATGGGTTTTTAGTTCTGATTTAACTGTTTTTGGAACACCACCTGCTGCAAAAAAAGTAATAACACTAATAACTAAGCATAAAAAAATTAAGTGAAATTTAAGTCAATAAAATCAAGATATTTAATATATTTAAAACGTTATTTTAAAATTTTTTACAGTTTTTTTACGATATTTTTTGCCATACCATGTTTGTTGTAATTATTAATTAAAAAATTATATATTTTTAAGACAGTGTTTTATTTAGATACCCTACCTACTTAATGTTAATTTTAAATTTTAAATAATTTTGGTTAACATCATACCAGGCAAATATATAGTAAATGCCAATAAACTATAAATCAATAAATATTAAAAATCAGAAGGTAACTTGAATTCTCTTGTATTTGAATTTACTTTCTTGAACTCACCTACATAAAAAAATCATAATTATATTACTAAAAAAATATACCTACTTATTAACGTATTTTTTTAACATACTACTCTGACAATACTGGTAAGTTTAAAACTCTACGCCACTGGCGAGCATATTATGGATACTGTTTACAACGTTGCCAGCCGGTCCTAAGAGATCTGTCTTTCTCTCTTCCACTCACTAACAATTTTAAAATAATAACAGTCCGTAATTGTATGGGATTTATGAATGAAACATTTTGTCTCTATGTTGTAATGTCTTTGATTTTAGTAGATATTTTTGCATTTTAACGGTGCAGGACGTTTATTAAATATTTTTTAAAATCAAATTCAAAATTTATTGGGTAGTTATTGGTGGTCGTAAAACGTGTTATTAAAAGCCAGGTTTCGGCATTATCAGACGGGGAGCGGGGGGCGTGTCACAAATTCTAATTAATAATTTTTTCCAAATTCTATATCTTTATATATTCATATTTAATATTTAATTCATTCATAATAGGACAGTTACCTTTATTTCAATATTAAACAATTCTCAATTTTTATAAGATATTTCCCTTCATGTTTAACAATAATAACATTGGCTAATTTTGCTGATTTCACAAACAGTGGAAACTAAAAATCAAATATCGTTAGTTGTAATAACTTGTTGAATATGCAAAATCAGCAAATGAGACTTAAAGGTAAATGTTCTAACAAACAGGAGGCAGTCAGGAAAGTCCTGAACCCTAAGCAAGAGCTAAAAATCTCCGCCAATTTTTGCTTAAAATAAAAAAGTTAAAGTAACATAAAAAAGAATTTGTGGACGTGCCCCAAACAAATAATGCGGTAAGCATAAATATTTTTTTCTACGTTCATGCAAAAAACAAAACTTTATTGAACTATATTTAGTGAAAAAACTGGTTCTTTATTGCACTAGTGCAATAAAACTTTTATTGCACTCTTCTGTCATTTTACTACAGCGTTTTATGATCATGACAAACATAAATATTCAAATCAACGCCAAATATTTAGTCCATTTTCATTTTCTGTGTTACGTTTTAAAAACAATTGCATATTTTATATTATTTTCAATCAATTAATAAATAAATTAATAAAAAAATGAATTTTATTAAAAATGTCATTACAAATTATGAACACAAACGTAAATAAATGCCCCAAACAAAGGTACACGATCACGGCTACTATGATTTGGATAATACAACTGCAGTTCTATAAAACACTTTTTGGTTTTTGCATGAACGTAGAAAAAATATTGTATGCAACTCGTGCAAAAAGTGTTTATTGCACTCGACAATTTCACGTCGCGTGTAATAAACACTTACTTTTTGCACTTGTTGCATAAATAATTATTATAATTATTTTTGTGTGTTAGTTTTATTAAATATAAGAACTCCCTGGGTTTTAAAAAATTGATAACAAAAATTTTGTAATTTCTAGTTTTGAACGTTGTACAATTTTTATATATTTCTATTTGAAATTAATTTCTGAATTAATAAATGTGTTTTTATCAGTGATTTTAATTTATTTTTTCCAAATACGCGAACAGTAGTTAAATTAACTGGTAAATTAAATTAGTAAGTACTCCTCAACAGGTTGTATTTTGGATCGAACAGAGTTTATCCAAACCTTGGAGAAGTCCGAGCTACCCGGAATATAGCGAGGCGAGCTAGAGCTCGTCGTGGCGTCGTCAGAAAACATTTGAGCTACCCAAACTCCGAAAAGACTACCCTGACACTCCACCACGTGACAATATCAACTTGGAGTTTTCGCTAAACTTCTTACATTTGCTTTAAGTTTTTGTTAACATAGTTGCCAAACGAATATTTTTTCCCTAAACTGCCCGTAAACATTTGCCTTTTTTAAGCCAATTTATTGGTTTACTTTAAATACAACACCCTATATTTTTTCATACCACTGAAAGTCACTTTCTTCCTCTTTTTTAAAAATATATACATTGATTATTTATTAAAGATTTTTTTATGAATCTACATCAAAAACATGTAATTGCAAAATTGTTAGAATTTTCTGTTAAAATTTATTTATTTTTTATAAATTTTTATGGGTGTATTTTCTGGTTTACTTCAAATAAAAAATTATCTTTAACTTTATAATGAACTTTGTAATTTCTTCTAAAGCAGTCTGACATACTAGATACCATTTTATCAAGGTAGCTTTGAAAAAACATAACTGATGTAAAGACACATTAAATAATTTATGTTAAGTTGATCTAGAACGAACACACTCAAATTTATTAATCGACATTGTAAAAAGGGCCACTTTATTTGGGTAATTTCGGGAAAAGTGTGCATTTGACAACTATGTCAACAAAAACTTGAAGCAAATAGAAGTTCAGCAAAAACTATATGTCGATATCTTTTTCCATTCTTGAGTTATAAGGTGTTAAAATGTGTTACTTTATAGTGGGACACCCTGTATTTTAAGTTCTAAATTTAGCGAATAATTTAGTCATTAACGACTTAATTTAGTACTTCATTTAGTGTCGTGATAAACAGCTTTCATGCGCTTTTCAAAAGTAGCTCCTAGTAGACTAGGCGACGAGCCGTCACTGGTGTTTATAGTGACTTTGGACACCCTGTAAATCAAATACTGCTAAACTTAGAGTTTGGCGCAACGGAAATATTTGATTGATTGGTCAATTTCTACAACATATCAAAATTTGAGAGTATTTTACATTTAAAACGTACTCCCGCCTTTATACTATACGTTTCAAAATAAAATAAAATTCTAAAACACGACTTCGCTGAATTCTGAATCGTTTCCAATTATTTATGATTCTCTGTTACACATTAGGCAAAGTTAGTGAAATAAGTCTCGCTTGTACGTGCTGTAAATTTCAACTATTACACAGGTAGGTAGGTATCACTTAATTTATCTAAACCACTATCATCTACCAGTAACTAATAAGAAAATTCCTAGTATCATCCCACTAAATCTCCTCCCTCCGCCACCCACGGTTCTCCGGAGAGTCCTGCTCCTGCCGCTAAAGGATTGCGATCAACAGGTGTCGGAAGGAAGTTTTGATGGTCCTGTTGGATAACAAAAGCAACAAGTTGACGTGTTTGGGGTGCGATTGGATCGAAATTTTCTTCCCTCGTAGAATACGTAAAAGTTTTGATGATAACTGATGGAGAATAGTAGCTACTCGGCTGTCTTCAGTGGCGCTTCGAAATATACACGGTGAACCAGACAATTTTTAAGAGTGCGAGAATTTTTGTTTTTTGGGTTTTGTTTTTGACTTCAAATGGTAAAGGCGAGAGAGATTATGGTGAGTACTCTTTTTGATAAATTATGTATTTCCTAATTGTAATTATATTTAACAATATTTTCGAAAATACTTTTTATTTAATAGAAAATTTTTACTTTTCGTAACTAATAACTTACACCGGCTTTTCACATATTTTATGAAAAAACTAAATAGTTTTAAAATATTAAACTGATAACGCCAATTATGTTAGTGAAATCTATGTAAAAATAAAAAAAGTGTTTCGTATTACCCCACTTTTAAAGTTTATTTTTGACTTATTCTGAAAGAAAAAAATATGTGCGTGTAGTTAAAGGTAAATACAAAACTCGATATTTTTTTTACCTGTTTTCTCAATTTTTTTCAGAAAAAACTAAATTGAATTTTAAAAATGTTGTTCCAGGGGGGCATAGATTTAACCTTTACCTACACGTACATATTTTTTTCTTCTAAAAATAGTCAAAAATAAACTTTAAAAGTGGGGTACTACG